AGCATAAAAAAAGTAATTTATATACTTATTCGTCTGCGTTTTATTTGGCCCTCCATGACCAGTTTTACGACCACGAAATTTAATTTACGCATCCACTAATTTCAGGTTTTCTAGTCCTTTTCATCTATATATTTAACTGGTCAGTTCTCTACAATACGTATTGAAATGCGATTTGCGAATTTGTCGGTTATATGGTAATCATCGCTTTCCAGATTGAGGTGTTTTTATTGTCTGATAATTTGGCGGACTAAGTGAAAGTACCGATGACTCTTCGACTGGTTTTGTTATGCGTGTTTTGTTTCCACGTCGTCGTATTTTGTCGACGCCACACACTTTCACTAAAAGTAAGTCTTTGTTTAACGTTTCTGATTAGTTTAGGGGGATAATCGTCAAATTATTTTGGCTAGTCGATTTGGATATGCCTCTGGAGGTTACCTTCTTGTGGAGGTCAATGATCTTCCTAAATCTTTGTTGAACCAAGTAAGTTTGTGCGTACTAAACATATTTATGCGTTAATATATTACCTTAAGTTTATGCATAAATGAACTGGCGCTAGCTTCACAACTGTAACGAAATTACGTAGGCTCCTCTTTATTTTTTTCTAAACGAAGAGACAGTAATTAAATATGTTTACTATATGGTTACGGTATACCGTAGCCATAACTTAGGTCGTCGAAAAAGATCGAATTATACAGCAGTTAATCGCCGTTGCCGAAATCCGTGTCATTGCGTGAACTTCTTACTGATGCGCACCCATAATTTGCCATTTCTGAAGAAAAGTTGGGCTTCTTGTAAGTGCTGGTTGCCGCGCCTTATAGCTACATTGCGTTATCACGTAATTTAGACATTTTTCAGTAAGAATGTGCTCATAAACATACATATTAAATTGGAAACAAAACTTTTGATGAATATTGGACTATGACTTACGAACCGTGTTTAGATGAAAGGAAGCGCTGCCTTACTTTCTCATTTTATTCGCTTATGGGTTAATTGGACTATCTAGTTAGGGCTTTCACTTCTGTCTTGTCTTCAGCATTAGTAATTACCTTATTGCACGGCTGGACGGGGATTCTTCGCGGCCGAAGTATGTTGGCGTATGCTTCGGTACACATGGGCATCTCCAGCTTTCGTTCTTCCGTAGCCAGACACTTGCAGGTTTGGACCAGTGAGGGCTCCATGATTGGCACCAGAAAATCTCACATCTACTATTAATTATGAAAGAGAGAATAAACAAGAGTCATGAACAGGCTAAATTATAGATGAGACAAAGTAAGTGAACACGAGCGTGTCAGTAACGTGTTATTTGTTAGAAGCTTGATAAGGGTATATCCATGCTCTTCATCTGTTACCTTATATTCTGCGACTGCCCGAAATGAATTCGCCACGTAAAATTATTGTTTAGTCCATTCTAAAGAGTAAGGCATACTAAGTTTGTATTAAACGAGGCCAATCAGCTACGTAGATTTAAAAAAAACCCTAAGTATTTTAGACTGCTTTTTTGGAGCTGGAATAGTCGCGATCAACTCTTTTGCCTATCGAGTAGCCATTTAAAAGTTTCAAGTTTAACGTGGTGGCCGCCCTGAATGCTCTGTTCTTGTAATTCCTCTCATTTTTCGTGGATTATATTGTGCGGTATTTTCTGTTTATTATTTACATATATTTTGCTCCACTGGGAGATCTGTTACCGATGAACTCTGTCAGGATTGCGCCTTTTCACCCTTTCTGACTTCTTTTCGCCATGACGAACTGAGCATTCACCACTATCTGAGACGTATCATCAGTGACTGCACTCCCAACAGTGTAGTACTTCAGTTGATGTTTCTCGAGTTTTCTTGGAGTGTTTGTTCTTCTTTTGAACGTATTCCACCTGCTTTTATTTTCTTTATTTCTTCGCAGGTAGGCTTCATACTAGACAGAACAACCAATGCCAATATCGATACGAGGGACGTAAGTTAACGCTCTTACCTCTCCATGTACTCATCTGGTTGTAGAAATCGAAACTCGGGCACTGTATGCTCACAGGTGATTTCTTACAATCCGAACCAGATAGCGTCGTGATTCTCAAATTTGGGAGGACACGGTGAGTCAAACTTTGCACGTTCTGGTTTTTTGATTGCCCAATTGGATTCTTTTAGTCCTAAGCCGAATTTTATGTGGACAAATTTTGCATCTTAAAAGTCTGTTGCGGATCATAGTGACGTTTTCAAAAACATATGCACACCGCCGATTAAGCCTGTTTTTTTTCATTTTCTTATATGAATGACAGTGGACGGTTACTGCATGGATCGAATGAAGTACGTGTCCATCCCACCAACTATAACACCGTCTTTGGCCTCAAATTTGTGGATGACGTCGACAGGAAGTCACTCGAATCCCTTGTGGATCCCGTAGCCCGTTTCCTTCAAACTGAAGCCGACACGAAGCTACGTGATGCCAAGGACATGGCTAAAGATATTCTGCAGGTTTGAGCAATTTGATAACTTTGGCCTTGTGACGAACTCACTCTAACCACTCTTTCTAAATTTCTAACTTGAAATGTGTGCCTGCATGAATCACGATATAGGAGAAGTTTTACAGTGCGTACCAACTTTCATGCTTGATAGGCTTTGCCTGTCCAAACTTGGATTCGCCTCAGATACTTAGACCTCTCGGCCGGCATTTAGTCGCGTCGTCAAATATAGAAGGCAGAGCCCTAAATACCACGACCGTTACTTTTTTCAAAGTTACCAGTTGTCTACTAGGCCACTGACCGAACTTTGTTTTTCTCGCATCAAAATAATCATGCGCACAGACACAGACGTGTCCTAAAAATCCTTCTTATGTTAAACTATTTAATACATTGTTCGTAGTCTAACAAATTTATATATTAGTTATAATAGTAGGTAGGCCCTCACTCATCGGTTACGGAAATCACTCGTCCAGTTGTGCCTTAGAGCTCGCTGTCGAGTCCAAGTAGCAGCTACTCAACGGCTAGCATAGTATAGGCAGAAATACATTACGGAAGAAGAAAATGGAGACTGGAATGGTCATTTCAGGTTTGTTAGCCGTCATCA